TAATGAAAGCGTTGCATCCTTCGACTCATCATCAGCAGTAACTGAAAGCAATCTCAGCCCCTATGCGGCGGAGTGGGACCCTTTTTACTATCAGGCACCTGAAGATGACAGGTGTTGCTATATCACATTTTCCAATGGGTTCCCGCTCACTGAGGACCAAATTATGGATTTCTTCAATGAGTAAGTAGATTATTGTACAATCGTTTATGATTATAAGAGAGATAAAAATCATGATTCATATTTGATATAGATATAATTAATTGATTTAATTGCATTTGTGTGAGCATTACTCTGTTGGCATAAGACCATGAATTTTGCACGTTGTTTGTTGAGTGTGTTTTATGGCATGGGTTTATTAGACTTGTGGGTTTTTTTCAAATCTTTTTGTGTGTGTGTGTGTAAGAAAAGTTTGGTTGATTGTTTTTTTTTGGGTGATAATTATTTTATGGTTTATTGCAATAAATCCTTAAAAATATTACACGGGTTTCTTTGTAAGAAAAGTATGATTCGTAGGTTAATCGTTTTTTTTTCTTCCGAACCATAGAGTACGGATTAATTTTTTGTTGAGTATGATAATTATGTTAAGGTTTCTTACAGAAGAAAAAAAAACCCCCCATAAAAGGATTCATGGGAAAATTTAATTCCCTGATTTGTTTGTTGAATGTGATATATTATTGATAAAAAAACGGTATATTACAAAGAAACCCAAAAAATAATTTATGGGTTTGGTAAGATTAGTTTGATCTTGGATTTGTTTGTTAACTCTTCCTATAACAAAAGTTCGACACTTATGTCTCCTTCCCATCTTTTAAGATATGGAAAATTATGTTCTATATGTGGTTGCATATATATTCATGTATGGTTGATGAGTTTGATATGGGGCGCAGGAGATTTGGTTCATGTGTTGAGAGGGTGTACGTTCATTGCCCGCACCCGTGGGAGGATCCTCTCTTCGGAAAAGTTGTGTTCAATTCAGTTCTGATGCCGGCGATCGTGCTCCGAGGCCAAGTTCAAGTGAAGTTTAAAATTGATCGAAGGCCCCTTTGGTGCAAGAGGTTTGACAGGGGCAGGCGTCGCAACCCAGCATTGATTAATTGACTAATTAGTCTTTAACTTTCAAAATTTTATGCATGGCATAATCGAGTATATGAGTAGCATTCATCAGAGAATTGCTCTATGACTAGTTTCTTTTATTCTCTTCAGTTCCTTGTCTTGGTTTTCCTTTGGTGATGCCAAAATTGCAAGAACTTTTCGGCAATTGTAATCTTTTTAGATCTAATTTGACCTCCGCATTCATCCTTTTCGTTTCTATACCTTTACATGTTCGTTACAACTCGGAACTGAGCATGCCGCCTGTTTACTAACTCGTATCGGCGAACTCTACGCAACGGTGCCACTCAATTCCCCAAAATCCTTCAGGATAAAAAAGTGACTAAAGTGCCCGTACCTTAAGGGCAAAATTGTAATTTCACAATTAAATAATTAAATAAACCCTTCAATTGGGTTGAGATGTTACAGGTTCGCCACTAATAGTGGAGATCATGTTGATCTATGTCTTCAATAAGGAGGTTGTGCAGGTTGGGTGTTCACATACTTGTTGAATTTTCCTTCCCAAATGAGACACTTGATGATATTGCGAAGGCAAATATTCTATAGAGTATTTATCTTGTGCTAGTCCTAGCCTTCTACACAGAGTTTAACTCTTCTTGTGTAAAATATGTTACACTGAATCAATGAAATCATTCGAGAAGGCAAATATTCTTCAAAGATGATAAGGGTCATTCTCAAGATAAACTCCTACCTCAACTTCAAGGCTCTTCATTATCAGATTATAATTATCCCATACATATGTATTTTCCATATGTATTGTCTTCCCATGTTTTAAATTATTATTTTTTTCCATAAATTAATCATTCATTTTTTGTTTTTTTAGATTCAAGGTTCACTTGCCTATAATTGGTGAATTTGTTGTGATTTTTATGGTTCTAAATACACACTTATGAAACCCATCTATGTTCTATACGGTTCCATTGCTATTCAAAACTGGAATCATTAAATTAGGATTTTGGGTGCTCATGAATTGCTTGTAGATGTGAAGAATATGTTGGCAATTGCAAATAGGGTCCTTTTGTTCTTCTTTTTTTGCCGGAAGGTCCTTTTTTATTATTTTTTTAATTTTCCCAAGAGGGTCCTTTTTTATTCACCAAGTAAAAGAAGATATTTGTTATTGCTATCCGTGTTTACTTTTATAGTTTTTTATAAATAAAATTTGGCATTTTGGGCACGGTGGGGAATTCTGTCTCTAAATTGAAAACAATATTATTATCACTTGTCAAATGGGTGAGATGTAAGTCGTTGGACCCACCGCAAATTTAGCCACAGATTGGCTATGCTGTGTACAACTGAATTGGCAGCACCATGTAAGGGACACCATGACAGAATTTGTGGCCAATCCGTGGCTTTGGCCACGGGTTGTTTGTGGCTGACACGTGGTGTTACAACTATACACAAAACTTCTTATGAAAGATTATGCACGGGTACTGCTTGCACACCCTTGAAGCTATAATAGCATTTCCAGCAGTTTGACCCTTGTCATGGTAAGGGGAGTCCTAGAGCAGCTACTATTCATGTGAATAGTAGCTGCCCTAGCCCCCCAGCAAAGTGTGTTTCTAGCAGTTGCCTTTTGCCATGGCAAATACTATTTATTTTTTTGTTTTTTTCACAACTTTTTTTACTTAAACAATTAATGTTGATAATATTTTCGGATAAGATTTTTGGGTTCCTACGTGTCAATACTATTCATATCGGATAAGATTTTCGGTTTCAAATTTCAAATAAATTTCAGAAAAAAAAAAGGTTGGTTTTTATAGAAAAAAAAAATGTATGAGGATTTGGTGTTAAAAGTGAAGACTATTGGTTGGTATTTATAGACACTAGCGGACCTAGAATTTTTTAAGCAGAGGTGCAATATTGACTAAGTATGAAAAATGATTTTTCGGAATAATCATTTTCTCAAGATAATTTTTGGCGGCTTTTATTCCTTACACATCAAATAAGAAAACTTGATTTTATGGGATTTTAGTATGAAGTATATATTGACTTAATGAGCCATCATTTTTAGCCTAAATCGTATTTTGCACTAAAACCGATTTTTCATATTTTGATTTGGTGAGAATTTGATTTTCTAGTATTTTTATTTGAATCCAAATGGGGGGTACTTCCTTATTTACATTATAAACTTAAGTAAATGGAGTAATATAAAAATAAATGAAAGTAAAAGGACAAAGACATAGAGAAAAAAAAAGAAGTAATTTTTTGGTATTTTTTTAAATTTTTTTCGATTTTTTTATTGCACAAAAAATGGCTGTCGTTGGATTGCCGGAAAAAATCTGATCGGGGAGCCCAGCGCGCGCCACATGGAAGCTAGCCGTTGGGGAATTGTAGTGGGTGCGTTGTCATGATGTCAGCTGGCTGACGTCATCTTCAAAACTCGGGCTAGTGCTCGGGCCAGCCTTCCTCTCGAGCCAGCCCAGTTCGCTGGGTCCCACTCCTTGCCCGGGCCACTTTTTGTTGCTTAAAACAGCATTTTGGGCTTGCCCCCCCCAACCCTCCCTTGGTCCCCTTGCTGGAAATGCTCTAAAATCATGCAACAACAAAAATTTAAAAAAGAAAATGGATAATCAATAAAAGACTATAGAATTAGTTTATATATATATATATATATAATTCTTATTTGTCTCTACATTTGATACATTCCTACGTATCATTCCCATTAAAAATAGAGAGGTTCCTACAAATGAACGTCTCCTCATTTGACCAAAAGAAAAAACTAAGACCTTTGCATTCCATAGTCTTCTTGGTTTTCTTCGAAAATGAAATAGAAATAAGATTCCTACATATATCATTACAGAAAAACATTCCACCTTGTCAGTGGCGGACCTAGAAGTTATTCAGTGGAGGTTCAGTACTATAAATTCAAGATTATATAGAATTATATTTTAACTAATATTATAGCTGATGCTTAAGAAATAATGGCCATTTTCATGGAGTTTTTGGGGGCCACGGCCATAACAGGCCTGCAAGTGGCTCTGCCTCTACACCTTGTAGTCATTGACTTGTGTGAACTACCTCATATTCGATAGTCTTTCTTTATTTATGAACATGACTAATTGGCATGACTAATTGAAATTTCTAGAAACACCAAGTTTGAGTCGCAAATGTTATAGCAATTGCCTCAGTAACTTTAGATTAATTTTCTAGGAACGAAACTAAGAAAATTAATATTCAGTTGATTAACCATAAAATTATCCCACCACCGTATAACTTGCTCCGCCGCAGCGCCGCCTCTGCTGCTGGCTGCACCACCATGCTGCCCCTGCTGGCTGCAGTCACTCCTGATAAGTTTCGCCAATTTTCTTAATTGAAAAATTGATAATGAGGCAATCATGTCCACACAAGAAGTTTCTGATGGCTCTAGTACTTCTTGAGTTTACTATGTATTTAATCATGTTAGTCTTTTTTTAGTTGTCCAATTTCTGTTTACATAATTTTTTAATTATATATATATATATATATTATAGTGAAGCCAGTATACAACCACCACAGATAGTAACGTTCGACCTTTTGCATTGTTCATTGTCTTCCTCTATGTCCATCCATGTTCATGTGCACATGCATCTTAATTCCGATGGCTCTAATATTCTTTGAGTTTACTATAATTAATACTCTAGTCTTTTTTAATTGTCCAAATTGATATTTACATAATATTTATTTTGGCCTCAGTGTATCTACATAAAACATATAGTCAAGACCGTCACCTCTGACCAGAAAAATAAATAATACAAAAAACAAAAAACAAAAAAAAATCCCCCTTTCAATTTCCTTTGCAATGTTTTTTATCTTCTCTCTATGTCTATATGTATATATATATGTGTGTATGTGCCTTCCTTTGTACTGAAGTACTAATTCAGCATCATTAGTTGAAAAATTTGTATTCTGCAATGGCGAACAGGTTTGGTATGTTTTGCTAATACCTTGCCCTCTCAAAATTTCCTTTGCATAAAATCATGACAGGCATTTGTCTGTTGATTTCCAATAGTTGTTAAATAAGTATAATTTGAATGAATCATATATCAAATATTTTGATTTTTTCATTTTCTTATGATTTTTTTTAGTACAAGCAATAGTCTAAAATACACTGGGATGGGAGGTGGGGGGTGGGTGGGTGTTGTCACACACACGCACAAAACTAAAATGCCATAATAGTTCGAACCTGAAACCTTTGGTCTGCAAGTCAAAACCTTTTTTCACTGGGCTAGACGATGTTGGCTCTTTTCCTATTATTTAGATCATGTTTATCAATTTGGTTTCACTTGAAGCTTTCTGCCATATAATTTTCTTCTGCTTTTGTAAAGATATTGCAGTGACGAAACCATACAGAAGAGACTCTCCACCACTTCACTTTAAGTTGGAAATAAATTCGTACTCCTCCTTATTGACGACGCTAGCAAAAAAGTACGAATCTAAAGTGTTTGAAGCTGGCGGTCACACATGGTGGGTTTTTTTAGTCATCCACTAAATTAGCTTTTTTTTTTACTTTAATCTTTTACATGCATTTCCCACTTAAATTCAAGATATTGCCTAGCTAATTTCTCTTTTTAAAAAAAAGAAAAAAGAAACGGATCTCTTGTTTTTTATTTTCTTTTTGCTTTTACATGGACTTGCATTTGGATTTGGGCTCATTTTGCATTGTATTCAAGGATCGTTCTTACAAAAAGATCAATAAAATAAAAAAACTATGCAACCATTTGATTATCATAACAAGATTTCATTGTTTACCTGAAGTACTATGTTCACCTATTTATTATCATAATTAGAGATCTTCATAAACTTCCATTTGGCTAATTGTTTGTAATTGATCAACAGATTAATGTTCTAAAACATCAACATTAACACGAAACTTTTCACTGTATTTAGGGAAATCTGGAGATATATAATTTAGTTGTAAGTCTGTGTTGCAGGAGGTTGGCTGTTTACCCAAGTCAAATGATAAATGGAGAGAAGTACATCTCCCTCTACTTGGCAAAGGCGAAGACAAAGAATAATGGTATTATTAACTCTGTGGTGTCAGCTCTTAGGGGGCAGGCGGAGGTTTATGCTACTTTTAGATTGTCTGTATTTGATCACAACCAAAAGAATTACTTTACCGTCGAAGGTAAAGTCTCTGATACGTATTCTATGTCTGATTTACATAAACACGTGATTTGAATGCTGCAGATATTTATAAATAAATAAATAAATATATATACATACATTAATTGAAGAACATATTTTCGACAACGTGAGAGCATGTTAGCCATTGGGCTCAACGACGTGTGAATAGCACGCTCTGATACTATCCCACTTAAAATCAATTGGCAATGAGTGGAGATGGCTAATAATATTTGTACTCAACTAATTTTGAATTTGCGCTATGTTTGTACAGATAAGGCCGGAGCATTAAGCCGATTTGAGAGTGGGACTGAGATAGGTTTTGCAAAATTTCTTCCCCTTCATACTTTCCAGCGCCATTCAGAGGGATTCATTTCCAATGACTGCTGCACATTTGGGGCGGAGGTCTTCGTCTCTACGAACAAAAGGACACTTCACAGGGAATCGCTTTCCCTCGAGACACCTGCCATTCGCATGCGTACTTTCCGTCGTGATTTGGGACAGTTCTCCACACAATTTGACATGGAGTACGCATTTCCACAATTGATCATTGTTGGAGGAAGAAAATGGTATGCACAATCATAGTCGAGTATTTTATGTTGTCAGACAATTTTGACTACCATACAAATGTAGGTTCTTACCCTTAAAAGACTGGTATTTTTTTTTCTTTTGACCGGGAACATTACCTCTTCTTTTTTTTTCTACTAATTATGTAGGCAGTTATGTGTTTATCCGAAAGGGTACGGGAAAGAGAGGAACAAGTCACTATCACTTTACCTACGATCGGCCGACGATTTGTACACGCTTCCCAGTGTTTATGCAGAATTCAAGGTTCGGGTAATTGATCGATCCCTTAAGACGCACAATACTGAACGGAGAGGTAATTCACTTAACACATATTTTTGGTCATCTTCCTGATTATCTACTACCCATCAGCTCATTGGCCTCACTTGTAACCTCACTTGCAATATCTCTAATTTTCTGTTTCAGGCAACCACTGGTTCTCGTCCTCGGACTGCATTTCTGGTTGGCCAGATTTTATGCCGTTGCGAACTCTAAAGGGGTTCCTTAAGGGTGATATATTATCTGTTGAAGTTGAAATGCTGGCTGTGTCTACGTCGTTATGAGACAGCAGAGAGATGGTTTCCATCTTTGGAATTGTGTTTGAAGCCCTTTCTGAATTATATATTGTGTGTCAATTTTATCAGTTACCTTTTAAGTTTTTGGATTGAATATGAATAAGAAATAATAATGTTCTGATTTGGAATAAAAGTAATTAGCAGAGTGTTTTGTTGTTAGAACTGTGTACGCTAGCTGGTGCATCGCTTGTAATCCACACAAACAGATGAAATAATTTTGAAAAAAAGATGGTAGCAGGTGTATTTTTGTTGGGGTGAGCACTCTAACATAGTTATCAGTTATCTTGGATTCTTCTATGGTGTGTTCTTTATTTATTTTAATTTTGAGAAAAATGGTAGCAGGTGACCAAACTAGTACCTAATGACTCTGCTGACACCTGCCATTCGCATGGTTGCAAATTTTGAAAAAGCAAATACTTAATGAATTAAAAAGTAAGTGGGCTCACACAAAATTAGGAATTGAATTCCTGATTTTGGAGGTATTCAATTTTTAAGTGGAATGTGGTATTCTAATTCGTTGAGATCCAACCCATTAGGAATTCATATTTTTACCCATTATATCCGCATACAAATTTAAAATTTTCAAATTTGTCATCTACTTTAACCCAACAACGAGGATATTTTAGTAATTAGCACCACTCCAACCCCAATTCCATATGGTTTAATAAGCAACTTCAATAGGAATATGGAATCAAACTCTCCTCAATCTATATAGTTTAGTAAACAACTTTAATAAGAATCTAGAATCTAATTCTCCTCAATTTAATTCCTCCTAATCTGATTACGGATTAGTAAACATGCTATTAGTGCATATGAGTCGTATTCAAAACTAGTCATCCAATACAAATATGAGCGATTAAGAAGATTTTTAGAATAAAAATGAAAAATCATTTTCTCCCAAAGAATACTCTCTCTCAAAACACAGAGCCAAACTTTGCAAATATGAATGATTAAGAAGATGAAACTTCAAATCATTACACTAATATTTCTAAACTGATTCTCCGTTGAAGCACATGAAAACCTTAAGTACAAGATGAAATTATTATCCATTGAAGGGCACTAGGCAAATAAGAGTAAAAACTGCAAATGTTAGGCAGCACGAAATGCAATGCATGTACTAGTCAACTGAGAGTAAAAACTTCAAAATTTTAGAATGAATGAAGTGCACATATGCATGAGTGATTTACCTGAATTAAGGACAATTAAGTAAAGTGGGCCCGATATCTATCAAATGTTGGCTACATGAGATTGGTCACGAATTTCTAGAGAAGAAAACTCACACACAAAAGTATAATTATAACAAATAATGTGGTCTCCTTTTTAAAGGTTCAATTATTACTATTTGGATAATGTACTTTTTCCTTGGCCGGTGCATCTTAGTTAAGCCACATGGATATACATGTACACATGGCTCTGGTACTATTAATCTGACTTTATGGAGTCTTCTTTTAATTTACTTTCTCTACACTTTCTCCCTCTTTATATGTGGCTGTCTTAACTCTGTCCTAATCCACGATCAGTCAGCATTTCTGCAACTGCAATGGCGAAATTTGGTATGTTTTGCTAATATCTGAATTCTCAAGTTTCCTTCTCATAGAATAGAATTAATAATTTGCTTCGTTTTGCCATGAATTTCTTCTGGTTTTGTGAAGATATTCCAGAGATGAGAGAATACAAAAGAGAGTATCCACCAGAGCACTTCATCGTGGAAATAAAGCCATACTCCTTGCTATCAAACACCAAAGCAGAAAAGTACGAGTCTGGTGTCTTTGATGCTGGTGGTTACAGATGGTACGTTGGTTTCTTTACATCTCTTTGCTTTGCTGAAAGCTGCTTTGATTATCTGCTTTCCCTTTTCTTTCTTTTTTTCTTTTAAAATAAAATTGCTGATCAAGCTACTGCCTAGCTAATTTCTCAGCCAAATCAATATCATTTTGACTGATATTTCTCAGCTACTGATCTAGCTAATTTTATTTTGATCTCAGTTTTAATGGTTAAACTGAATGGTTTGATTGAATTTTTTTATTTACTGAAATGAAATTAGGCTTATTTTAAAGAGAGACATAAAAAAAACTGTAATTTGTGTTGCAGGAGGCTATCACTTTACCCAAATTACGAAACAACAAGTAAGAAGGGTTACATCTCCCTCTTCTTGGTATTAATAGGGAGTGTGTCCGGGAAGCAGTCGCCGGCCGAAGTTTATGCCACTTTTAGATTGTTTTTATACAAGAATACACCTGAAACACAGGAATACTTGACCATAGAAGGTGAAACTCTCTGCAACATATCTGATTTATCTGCTCACAATTGACTTACGTATATGTCTATAGTTATGTATGTGCATAAAGTATTCATTATCGAAGTTCATACATTATTTGTGATTAAATTATGTATAACAGATGGTTCTGGAAAAGTAAATCACTTTCATGAGGAGATGAGGCAGGAGTTGGGTTTTGCAAAATTTCTTCTCCGTTCGACTTTCGAGAAACGTTCTGAGGGATACGTTTGGGACGATTGCTGCAGAATCGGAGCAGAGGTTTTTGTTCATAAGGGCCAAACGAAAACTCTTGACGAATATCTTCCCCCTCGGGAACTCAAAAATCCAACCTCAAGTGTCCGTAAGTTTAGGTTGGGAAGCATCTCATCAAAACGTGACCCAAAGTGTCTATCTTCAGATAAATTTCATCTTCAAGGAAGAAAATGGTACGTACGTGCAATATGTCTTACGTATATGTATAAAGAGAACTGTTATTCACACTCCATATAAAAAGAAACATTATGCAATCCTTTTATTCGCTACGGAAGTTATACGGGAATCATTGTAACTTTGTTGTGTTTATTAATTTTAGGAAGTTAAGTGTTTGTCAGAACGGAGAACCAGAGAACAAATCACTGTCATTTATGTTAGAATCGAAAGAAGATTGGAAGAGCTTTCCGAGCTTTTATGCAAAATTCAGGGTTCGGGTATTGGATCGAGTCCATGGTAAACATACTATTGAAAAAGAAGGTAATTCCCTTTACAACTATCTATGTTGCTATATGGAGGGTTAGACTCGGCTATCCTAGATTAGTTAACTATTGTTTCACAAGAGAACATTACTATTGTTTTACATAATTCTCTAAAAATTTGATTCTCTGTTTCAGTTCAACACTGGTTCTGTTCCTCAAACCGCAAAATTGTTTTCCCAGACTTTATGCCGTGGAAAACTCTCCGTGACTCGTCAAAGGGGTTCATTAAGAATGATGTATTAACTGTTGAAGTAGAAATATGCTCGCTATCTGTGGTTGATGCTCCTAGAATATTAAAAACCCCATAGTTTTATGATTAAGATAGATGGTTGCAGATCTTTGAATAGTATTCGGAGCCCTGTGTGTATATGTTGTGCTAGAATTGCAGAGTGGTGTATTTGGAATATATAAAAATTTGTGTGAACTTTATCAGATAATTTTCATGTTTGAATTGTTCACATAAATAAAGGATTAATTTCTTGTGCTAGATACCACACTCTTTTTTAGGTTTTGCATAATTAAGGAAAGACATGATTGTTAATTTCTTGTGCTAGATACTTTTGAGTGGACAAGAACATGACAATTTGGATCCAACCATTTATTTTTAGGGAGTTTCACTAAAACACCCAAAATGAGGGCTGAAATTATAAAAAAAACCCAACACCCAAAACACTTTATAAACACACCCAAAACCCATCATTACACACACTCAAAACCCATTTATAAACACACCCAAAAAATATACAATTGTTGATTTTGGGTGTGTTTCTATGTTTAAATAGTACTTGGATTTTTTTATAAATACATGCCTAAGATTGGGTTTATTTATGAATTTGTATTATTTTTATTAAGACTTTGAACTTAAATCTAACACATCAATCATGACCCTATAATCGACGCTCATGACTAAATGCCAGGCTGCCAGCATACAGTTTATATTCATCTTATGAGTGTCACTCCTTATTAAGCGACGTTTGAGGAGGAGGGAAGACAACAAGTGCAAGGATAGATGACTTCCGACCCAGCCCAGTTAACTAATATACTAGCCCAATTAATTACACTCATTAACCTGTGCCTTAATTTGGTTATTAATTTGGTCCAAATGAACATGCGTATCCTCAAGGTTGGGAGGATCGATGGGAGGTTTTTGTCAACTTCAAATTGCTTGCATTAGATATTTTGCTCAAACATGATCATAAATCGAAGAACTCTCTACTATATTTGATTCATGCACATGTTAAACTATCAAAGCTCCCCCAACCATCATATCCTTGATGCTAACGACTTTTTGGGAGTTCTGGTAACGATTGTGAACATTTCTAGCAGGGCTCAAATTCTCAATGAGCAGAAAATCATTAAGCTCATCGAAAATTAACTTCAATATACAGATAGACGGTGTTCAATAAGGGAGAATAGAGTTTCACACATAATGCCAATGCATCATGGAAGTTTAAACCTAAGATCACTTATGTGCAACTCTATTATTTTTTGGGGTGACTATAACTTATGTAGTAGTCTTCTCTTTCCTATTATTTTCTTTTGGCTGGCTTTTTTTAAAAGCAAACTTTATAGTCACTCAACCATTAGACATTAGTATCTTCCAACTTGATTTGCATTGTTTTCTGTCTTTCTCTATGTCGATATACATGTAGTCTTTGTTTAATTGTCCACTTGCTATTTACATAATAATTCTTTTTGGTCCGTGTATTTGAATAAGCCTTATGGTCAAGCCAGCCATTCACATGAACCATGGATCAGTAACTCTTAACCTGATTTCCATTGTTTTTGGTATTTCTTTATCAGGATATATGTGTGCACATGGTTCTAGTACTTTTTTGACTTGATCACTATAAGCAATAGAATGGCTCGTTTGGGAGTGCTTCTGGAAAAGCTAAAAGCACGTTTTGACAACCAAAAGCGCTTCTGATAGCGTTTGGCAGAAAAGTTTAGAAGTGCTTACTGGCCATAGAAGTACTTTCTGGAGAAGCACTTGCCATGTGCTTCTTCGAGTGCTTTTCCAGGAAGCACTCCTAAGTGCTTTTTCAGGAAGCACTTCGATTTTTTATGAAATTTTCAACAACTTTATAATAAGAACACTTTTGTTAGAAGCACTTATGAGCAGAAAGTACTTCCTAGAGAAGCAGTCCCAAACGAGCCCGAAGTCTTTTTAGCGTCTTTGTTGACTTTTGACTGCTAGCTTTGACATTTGATTATCAACCATTGACTTATGTCTCCTCATTTCATTTCTCTTCATTTGCACATCTAATCACATGACCGTATAGTGCCCTCAAAGATTAACAACATAGCCACAAAACATCTATGATGCCTCAGGTATAAGGATTAGTTTGCATCATTGCAATTTATGAGTTTTAGCTTGACATGTGAGTAAAAACTTCCCTGCTGTAACTCATGTGTTGGATCGCGTTCATCGTATTTGTTCTTCTACAAGCACCTACACACATATCAATGTGTCTCCACACTTAATGACTTGAGACCTTGCCATTTCTAACATATAGAAACGATACTGTGTGTACTGGTCTTTACGGAATATTGATGCCTAATCAATATTCCTATGACCAGGAACAAATTCAGGATTTAGGGACGATGAGAAGTGTCCATGTATGCAATCTCATTACATAGCTCTCATATCCATTTGTGCATCTTTGGACTATGGTTGTTCTACATATTGAAAGATAATATAGGATGATTTAATGTATAAAATAACATTTCTTGCCTATTGATAACATAATATGTCTTTTATCAAAGATGTTCTTAACTCTAACTATCACATCAATAGTTGGCTTTAAGGGCATATTTCTAACATCGATGGTATCCATCCTTCCTCTTAAAGTTTTAACCACGGTTGGCATCATCATTGAAAGAGTAACGACTAGGCTTCTCGTGATTAGTTGGTGGTGGAGGAGGGTACAGATTTTAGGAAGGTGCCGAACATTGTGGAGGTCGCCAGACCATACTTGGAGTTGAAGTATGCTACCTTAGAATGAATGGTGGCTTGTCTTATTAGTTCAGCATAAGTATTCCAGGTGTTGTTGTGTATCGAGTAGCGGAAGTTGGACTCATGAAGGCCAATCTTGAAGGTGCCAAAGGCAGTACGATCATTCACCTCTGAACCCCCTGAGTAGTTGCATACTCCTGGAGAGGTTTGTCTTCATGTTGTTGAATCATATACAAGTCATGTGCCGAATATAACTGATCAGTCTCAATCATGAAATGACCCAAAAAGATGTGCTTTGAACTATTGAATTTAGCAACATCGGCACATAGTAGCTCCATATCGGTATGTAGGTTAACATCGGCAAGTAGCCTCCTCCTAGAAGATTCTACATGAAGGGTGTTATGTAGGGTGCCAAGACTGGCTTCATTCGGCATGTTAGAATGCGGGTTGCCGAAGAGACGAAAATGAGTAATAGGCGAAGGAGCCAGCAGAGAAGTGGGATTCATAAGCCGATTCCTACATATGGCTTCAATATGTTGATGTTCAAAATTGGATTCAACTTAAAAGGGATGAAGTATGGTTTCTTCAGCAAGTGATGAAAAGGTGAAGACCTTCGGTAATAACGCCTTCATCAGGGAGACGAATCTACAGAAGATCGATTAACATAAGAAGAATCATCAAGACCTTAACCAGTGTGGTGTGAGCCGAAAGCTTTACGATGCTGAAGTCAGCAAAGTGTAAGGTAAAAGATAATTTTGGTAGAGTAAGGGTATGGGTAAAGATTAATTACCTTTTTACCTTGGCACTATTCTCTTTTACAGGCAAAAGAAAGTGGATGTTTGCCAAAAGTTTCTATGTGGGACTTTGGGCAAATCATTGTGGTGCTGACACGTGTCTGGAGATTTAGGTTCTGCGAGTTTTGCCTTCAATGACGTCCTTCGACATGCCGGTGTAGAATCGGAGTAGGATGTCCCTTCGGTGCCCTTGGTCATGATGACGTCATTGGGGTTATGAGTCAATGGTTTTCCCCAAGTGTTTCCCCTTGGGCAGTTTGTGGGTATGTACCAGTTTCTGAGTGTTGAATGTGCTTGGTTGATTATGGTACAAACAACTTTTAACCAATTAAGCTACAACTTAAAAGCCCTTTAAAAATATATATATATATATATATATATTTTAATTGTTCATTTGATATTTACTTCAGTCGCGAACATGACCTTCCACTGGATTTCCACAAAAAAGGTTTGCATTGTTTATTATCTTTATCTATCTTCAAATATAGGTGTTTTCATATGTATTTTCTGCTTTTTTTCTTTTTATTTTTTTTTATTTTTTTTATTTTTATATAAGCGATAATTTAATTTAAATTAATCTAAACTATACATTTCCAAGTACATGCATTTTCTGTTGGCCCTAGTATTTTTTTATCTTGCATTTTCTGTTGGCTCTAGTATTTTTTTATTTTGCATTTTCTGTTGGCTCTAGTATTTTTTTATCTTACTAGGTATAACAAATAATGTGATCTTTTTTAAATGTTCAATTATTGCTATTTAGATAATAAACTTTGGTCTGGCCGGTGTACTTAAATATACTTTGGTCAAGCCATTCATATGTGGATGGGTAAATTTCAACTTTTTTTAATTGTCCAAATTGATATTACATATTATTTATTTTGGCTGCTTGTGAATTTAAACAAAACTTATAGTCAAAGACCGTCAACTATGACCAAATAAAAAAGAATTCAACTTTCAACTTTCAACTTCCTTTGAATTATTGTTTCTTGTCTTTCCTCTCTCTCTCTCTCTCTCTCTCTCTCTCTCTCTAGTATATGTATGTGTGGGTGCTCCTGCCTCTCTGCTGAAGTACCAATCAGTTGGCACTGGACTGCAATGGCGAACAGACGTGGTATGTTTTGTCCTCATAGAATCATGACATGCATTTTGTCTTTTGATTTCCAATAGAGTAAAATATTAAATAAGTTGTTTGAAACTCTAAATTAAACATGTTTGGTTTCACTGAAGCTTTCTGCCATAATTTTCTTGTGCTTTTTGTAAAGATATTGAAGCGATGAGAACATACACAAGAGACGCTTCACCACATCACTTTAAGTTGGAAATAAAGTCGTACTCCTCATTATCAACCACGAGCGCAGGAAAGTATGAATCTAGTGCCTTTGAAGCTGGCGGTCACAAATGGTGGGTTTTCCCGTCATCTACTAACGTCGTCTTTCCGTTATGCAAAATTAGGGATTCCCCTTTCAATTATGTTGTTGAACATATTTTTATTTTGATAATATGTGTTTTTTGGTTGTATTTAATTTATATTTGTTTTATGCTAAAGCTTACGGGAAATTAGCATTTAGTCTTGCATTCGAGGAACTAGCATAGTTTCTATGATTTTTATCTCTAGAAAGACAATAGAAATTGGAAGTACAAAAGAAAATTATTATTAGATTATTAAACTAATAACTATAGCTAGCCCACCAGTTGATGAATTTGTGATTCCACCCACTACACTACTCTTTAAATCTCATCGAAAACCATATAATCATTTGATTATTATCACAAGATATTTTTTTTAATTTTATAATTTGATACATGAATACATACATAAACTCGAAGTTTTGCACTGTATTTAGGCAAATCTTAAGATGTATAATTACTTGTAAGTTTGTATTGCAGGAGGTTGGCACTTTACCCAAATCAAATGATAAATGGACATTGTTACATCTCCCTCTACTTGGCAACAGCGAAATCAAGCGTTCCTTCTTTGAGATCAGTGCACAGTGGTGTTAGTGCACCGCGTTCTTTGTTATCAATATACAATGGTATTAGTGACGGGGAAGACGTTTATGCCACTTTTAGATTGTTTGTATTTGATCAGAAACAGCAGAAATATTTAACCGTCGAAGGTGAAGACTCTACTATAATATTATTTCTTATTTACATACATAGGCGAAGCCAATTAAGGCCTACAAGGTTCACTTGACCCTTCTCACCTTTTGGTAATTTATTTTTGTATGTGTTGCATTTGATTGAATTACTTTCTATATTACATGGCCGACCTTTCTCATCTTTTGAGTTTACTAACTTTCTCATTTTCTTTGTTTACTATTTAAATCCTATAACAATTAAAGTACACTATAAAATCCCTCTTGGCTCTAGTAGTATCGTTTTTCTAACACATAAACACACCTCAAAATTCTTAAGATTTCTCGTGATTTTTTTAATCGAATGAGCCAATTAATTAGGCAAAATTCTCACTCTCGCTATTTAAGGTTGACCCTCATTGATAAAATTTCTGACTCTGCCACTATTTACATACACACACATGTACTTAATTAACTTTGAATTTGCATGTTGACGTACGAGCAGATCGTGCCGGAACATTAAGCCTATTTGATCGCGTGACAACGGAGGTGGGTTTTGCAAAATTTCTCCCCCGCGATACTTTCGAGCTTCCTTCTGAGGGATACCTTCTGAATGACTGCTGCACATTTGGGGCGGAGGTTTTCGTTAATACGAGTGGGAGGACGAGATATAGAGAATCTCTTTCCCGGATAAACAATTCCATGTTCAGCCGCCCTTTCCGTTATGATTTGGTAAACTTCTCGTCACAATTTGGGCTGGAGCACTTATGTCCAAATCTGATCATTTTGGAGAAAGAAAATGGTATGGCACTTTCACTCAATTAAATTGTTGGAGAGTAATATTGGGTACTTGATTTGTGGGCTTGATGAATTGTTGGACCCTCCCTTTTTTTTGGTTAGGAATTAATAATTTGTACCAAAATTAATCTATATCTATATATAAAAAATAAAATGCAGAGAATTGTGAAACATTCAAAATACCAGAAAATACATTTGGTTAATTCAAACATTAAGAATTGAAATTATTAATTAAATGAGAATAATATGATAAGTTTACATTTTTTCATATTAAAAAAATTAAAATTAAAAACGAAATTAGATAATAGGTCCTACTTTTATAGAACATAACTACCCAGGTTATATTTAAATTCGATGCCATTTTGGACTTTCGAGCCTCATACTCTCAATAGAGCTGGTATGTGGCTAACCTTTATAAGAATTTTATGTTGACGAGCCAGTGTGTGGCTAACCTTTATAATTATCTTATATTGCTTCTTCTGTTTGTGTGCTTTGTACATGTATACGTTTGACCTCTATGTAGAGCCGGTCCATTAGATATGGAGGTCATGTGCGAAGAAAGCTGATGAGGCCCTATATGTACAAGTAAAATAACAATTTTTCAAATTTTAAAATTCATAAATCATAAATTAAACCGAAATATGTGGCATCAATTACTTTAGAACCCACAAATATAATCAAGATCATCCTTCGTCTATTTTCACATACTCACATCTATTCAATTTTCTTTTACATACAAAAAAAACTACACATACCCACAAATATAATATAATGTTGAGCTTTTAAAAACATTTGGAGGCCCCTAAATTTTGGGGGCCCTGTGCGGTCGCACAGCCCGCACATGCCATGGGCCGACTCTGCCTCTATGACGCAATAAGTAATACCTAAGATTAACTGGCCATAGTCAATATCCTTTTTTTCTTTTTCTTTTTTTTTGGTTTTTTTAAAAGGGATAATTTTTTTCTACTAATTGTAGGCAGCTATGTGTTTATCCAAAAGGATACGGGCAACATAAGGACATATCACTATCACTTTACCTACGATCGGCCGACGATTTGTACACCCTTCCCAGCGTTTATGTAGAATTCAGGCTTCGGGTAGTGGATCGAGCCTTTAATTTACACCATATTGAACGAACAGGTACCTATTTTTGTATCTTCCTAATTATATAATTTTCAACTCATTGGTCTCACTTGAAAAATCTCTACAAATTTGAATTTTCTGTTTTCAGGCAAACACTGGTTCCTGTCCTCGGACAACACTTTTGGTTGGTTAGATTTTATGCCGTTGCGAACTTTAAATGACCCTTCAAAGGGGTTCCTTAGGGATGATATATTATCAGTTGCAGTTGAAATGCTGGTTAGGCATGGGTCCTAAAAATAGAGAGATATTGTATTTGAAGCCATGTTGCGGAGATGTCCCAATTATGTGTCGATTTTATCAGTTACTTTTCAAGTTTGAATTCATCAATGAATAATAGATAATGTTTTGTTTTTGCAATAAATGTAATTGGGTTTATATATGATTTTTTATTATAGAAAAGCGATAGTAATTATTGATGAAACATAATAAAGTACAAAGCAGCCATAGTATTGACGATGGGTACATCCAATGACTATAGACAACAACATGTTGATTTGACGATCTTGATAGAATTACGCCTAAATATATATAAAAGAAGACTTAAATCCTCGATTTAGCAGCCAAAAGCATTTGTACTTAGGCTTAAAATACAGATCCACTGTGCAATGGCCAAAATGGTAAATCCGTATCAGAAGACAAAAACTAAAATACAAAACACAGTACATTTTTAAAGAACAAACAAAGAAACAAGATTACCACTCCACATCCTCTTCGACAATTGAAAAGACTCATAACGCCATACTGGCTAAACCTCAATCCACATAATCCGACAATTTCCTTTTTTGTAATTCCAAAAAGTGAACTTGAGTCAAATCCTTGTATATGTGGGCCAAAACTGTAACTATATTATGGCGACAATGGTGTTTCACGATAACTGCTTCAACAACACAAAACACATCATCATAGCAACTGATGCTACATTCACTGACATCGACGTCGCTGATTAGTGCATAATTATATATCATTTTGTACTCTTTCTAACTTATGATTTGGTTATGCTTTTTAGTTAAACTTTTGCTTTTAATCTATTTTGTGTTTATCATTCATTTCATTGAGCTTTAGGTAGCAATGGTGGCTTTAGATAGGAAAATGTGCAAAATGATGCAAAAACGTGCAAACTGAGTTAGCAATTTGTTTCGACCTTAACTCCTTCCTCCAACCTTGGATTGGCCCAAATAACATTTGGTTGGAAAGATTACATTCTGCACTACAAGATGAACGGCTCAAAGTCATCAGTTACTTAATGGAAGCCCAATTCGTGAGCCTATGAAGTTGCTATTCATGCTGATTTAAGGATGGGCTGATTGTTGCTTGGTCATGATGAGCTATGCATGAGCTATGATTTTTTATGGGATTTGTTGGTGAAGTGCAACAGCCAAAAAAGGAAAGAAATTGATTTTCTATTGCGTTTGTGTATTATGTAAGGTTGGTGAAGTAGGTGTTTTAGGTGGAAGTCATACTCAATCCAAATTTCTCACTTCCTTCTCCCTTTAAATACCACTTCCATTCCACACCAAAAGATGAACCACATCCTAAGATTCACACTCCCACAAATCACTTTATCCATCCTCCATACTCCCATCATTTCCCAAACACTTTCTTCCCTTTCCCTATGAATTTCTTCTTTCTCAGCCATCACCACTCACCCAAACTCATCTCAAATTTCCTCATTAATAACCTTCATATATCATTCGAGACGTTGGGAAACTCTTGGAGAAGCGTTAGAAGTTGAGAAACTCTTGGAAAAGCATTGGACACCACAAGAACTCCAGAAAAAGGGTTTCTCTACTCTTATTGCATTCATTATGTTTTCTCATTTCTGTTTAAGTTTTTTTTTCCATTATGAGTAGCTAAATCCATAACTAGGGCTTCGATGTAACCTAACATGAATATTCTGAGTTTATAAATTTCAAGTTTCAAGTTTGATTCATAATTCATGTTTATATTCATTATGCCTACCTGCCTATATGCTAATCGGAATGCCTAGCTAGCATTCAAATTTTTGTATTTTGGTCGAAACTAAAGTTGACACCATATGCTTTTGTTTCAATTGAACTATGAATAGGAAGAGTATGTATGGACATTCGAAAACAAGGATTAGATACATGCTTGGTTCTTTAAAAAATTCTTCTATATTTGTTGGATTTCTAATGCTTAATTTAGGTTTAACAACGAAGGATCTAATTAGGGAATTAGGAATACAATGTTAGAACTAGACACCATGGCTTAATCTTACTTTAGCTAGAATCAATCTTTGAATCTGAATTAGACTTGTCACTTGAATTCTTGTAACTTAGAATTGGATTGTTATAGTGAATCGAATGCCTTAGTATCCAAATATATTTTTCAACCCTTAAGACCACTCTTTGTTACACTTGTTTACTTGTGAAATTACATGTAGGATGACATGTAGGACGACTGAAAATGCCTAGAGGGGGTGAATAGGCTAATTTAATATTATAATCAGTAAATAAAAAATAAACTTCGGTAGCAGGATTGATATGGCTTATCAATCCTGAAACGTGCTGAGCATAAAATAAAGGAACACACAGATAATTATTTTACGTGGTAAACCCCCAAGTCTGGGGAAAATCCATAGGACTCCTTAGTCCAACACAAATCCACTATCGAACGATGATTACAAGAAGTACTCACACACTTATCCTAGACACATTCTAGATAATGTTTACCAACTTCTTCGCAACTCAACTTTTGTCACCGGATGATCTTTGACACTCCTTATGTTGAAAGCAATATTGGTCACGATTGCTTCAAGCTCACCGGAGGAAAACTGCCACTACTGTCTTGGTGCCCCCAACCGTATGAGTCACCGTCGTGCATTTGAATGCAATATGAATGATGAAAGGATTTGATAAATCACCAAGTAAACATGGAACACTTGATGACTTATCTCAAAAATATGCACATCAGCTTTCTCTTGAAAATTTGTATGCTCAAACAAAATCGAAAAGTTGTGTTTCTCAAAGAAAGACACGCCCACATTTTCAATATAGACATATTCTCCTATTTGTAAGAGAAGTCCACCAACCACGTGATCAATCTCTTGCAATATATGAGATTTGATTCTTAGAATCCTATTTAAAGTTGCCAGCTTATGCACTATTACAAATACCTTTATTCCAATCAATCTTTATACAAGGAAACTAAATATAACAAGATTGACACAACGAAACCAATAGAACGTGCTATCCAAGTCAAGAATAATGAAAACATAATATTTTAACTTAAATCAAAATAGAGTCCAACTAGGAAAGTAATATCAAGAGATAAAATCTAATCATATTAAAAATAGAATTAACATAAAAATACTTGAGTGAAAATAACTCTAACTAAGAACCCTATAATGAATGCATGATTATGTCATGATTTACTTGAAATCAGTTTCCTCATATCGATCAAGTCACACTTCAAAAATTCGGGATTGAATGTGTTGCGCCAAAACTTCCAGTAAAAGATATTCACACCCTAATTCCCAACCTATGCTAGAGTCTAGAAAATGCCAATACAATTTTCATAATAACAACTTGCTTTCGTTTGCAATTTCATTTGTTCGTTTGTTTTCACAATCACAAGCACTCTCACTTCAAATTCCAATTTTATTGTGCTTTCAAACTCAATCTCACTTTAAAATCTGTGTTAAACTTAAGTTCTTGTTTATAGAACAGAGTAATTTAAGTACATAATTAATATGAACTTCTCAATCTTCATGGGTACGACCGCGTTCTTGTCTTGCTATACTACTAATTGGACTGTACAATTGTGAGTAACATAATAGTCGCTACCTCCGCCGAGATTGAGAGCACCACCAACAGCCACTCAAGACCTTTATTTATCTCCAAATCACAGGTTAAAATTGTTGGAAAAAATTGGCTCACCTAAAAATAGGATGCATGTTTTCAGAGGAAAAGTGACTGGTCGACGGGTAGACGTGACCGGTCGTTTTGAAATAAAGTGGAAGGCTTGAAAAATTGCCAGAAAGCGACCGGTGGGCCTCTATTTGCGACCGGTCATTTTAAGTCTAAATGCAGCGAATGAACCTGCTTCAAAGCGACCAGTTGTTTCAGTCGTGATGTTTCGTTTTTTACACGTTTTCAAGACTCTTTTTCATGTGCTTACCTAATTGCAAGGACCACCTAAGTCAGTTATGAGTTCTAGGGAGGTTGGCAATCTACTGGGAGAGCTGGGATAGCACTTATGGTTGTTTGTTCATTTGTTTCAAAGGCTTCCTACTCTTTGTTTCAAAGGGTGCAGCCTTTGCTGACTTGCTTTTTGGTTCCCCTAACTCTGGATCTATATATGTATGGTGGCTGAAGGTTGAATGTGCAACAAGAGGAAGCTTCCTCCTAGGTTCAAAGGCATATCTATACCAGCATTATAGAAGGGAAATAGATGCAAGACAAGAAGTGTGGCTGGAAGCTAGAGTGAGAAGAGAGAAAACCAAGTGTGAGAGAGTTCACAAGTGCATCAAAGTGTTGAGCAAGGGGTGTGAGAGAAATCAAAATTGTAACTTGTCTTCATTAGTGAAATTTCTCAAGGAGATCACCAAAGAAGATGTAGGCAAATTTCTAAACCTCTATAAATACTTGTGTCATTTGTACTCGGTTATTTTCTCTGTGTGTGAGTGTTTGACACATCCATCATTGTGTTTGTCTAAAGTCCATCAACAACAAGATCCTAAGGGAGTTATTTGCACGACAAAATAAACCACCAAGATATGAAGTAGATTTAAAGCAAGAGCTCTGGATCTACAAAAAGAAGACAAACAAAACAACCATGCACAACCAACAAACTAGCCCAAACGGCAAGTTCGACCAAAAAAAAAGGGCAAGAGAAGCCAATCACCCCCAAAGGGGGTGTCGCGACTCTTGCTAGAGTTCTCTCTCTCTCTCTCTCTCTCTCTCTCTCTCTCTCTCTCTCTCACGTTTTTAGAGTTTTAGGCCTATTACCAATAGGTTTATATATAATTTAAATTTGTAGTAGGTGCGTTTTTTTCAATGTATGTTTTGATATTTTGAGAGAATGACGATAATTTATTACTGAAATAAGGATGTGTAACTAGTACAAAAATTGGAATATGTTGTCAAGGATTAGGCGAGTGTCTTTATACAAATGGGCTCAATCGTTGGTCTAACTAAGTAGCCTTACTCACTCAAACGCAAGCTAGAGCACTATATAAAATAGATGAATATAATATTTTTCCTTACTTTTTTGGGGGGAGCACTATATAAAATAGTTAACTTGGTGTCTTCTTTTATCTATTCTCTATTTATTTTAATTTCATCAATGCCACTACGAAAATGGGATTATAAAAATTCAAATGTGAGATCATGTGCTAACAACGCTTTTTTTTTCTTGCCGAGTTGAATTATTTGTAGAATAATGTTTAATAGTGATGCCTTGAATTTATTTTGACAAAGCTCCAGTTACTAGAAGGAATCACTCCCAAAAAAGACACTCAGCTTGACCACTCTTATGCAACAAGATTTGTTGACAGGAGGAACATAATATACCCATCCTCCTAATTTCGATCCAACTAATTATTCTACTTAAGTGTAAAGGACAGGCTAAGCTTTGAAAACTAGCTCGGAATAATGCCGTAATTTTATTACAGGAATACTTAATCACTTGTGCTACAAATCCTTTGCAAAACAAATTATCTTTTTTTTCTCTCCAAAACGTACTGTGGCATCTGACTATAACTAACAATGTAGTCTTTCTTTAATTGTTCAATTGATATTTGCTTAAACTTTGTTTTTCTCGGCTGGTGTATTTAATAAGATTTGTAGTCAACCATACACGAACACGACCCCACGATTTTTTATTTTTTTTGCGTTGTTTATTTATTATCTTTCTCTATCTCGAAGTATAGGTGTACTTTTCACATGCATTTTTTGTTAGCTTAAGCATTGTTTAGCTTGCTAGGCATATTAAAGGGCAAAAAGTTACTTTTGATCTTTGTAGTTTGTCACTTTTACCACTTTGGTTTCTGTCGTTTTAATTTGGTCAATTTTATCATTATGGTTTCACTTTAAAGCAGTTCAAGGACAATATCTCATTTCTATCAAATTAAAGTAACTTCTGTTACTTTGAGCATTTCCATCGCTCCCTACCAGCCCAAGCAAGAGGCCCTCTAGGCCCTCAGAAGTGTTTTCAGCGCTCAAGTCTTGCCAAGGCAAGATATGGGATCCACCTACCTAGGCAAGGATCAAGACAAAATCAGCCCGCCCTCCTGCTTGAGGGCTATGATGTCACCACTAACGTCAGGATGGCGTCAGCACACGAAATCAAATTTTTTCTACAAAATCAAATCTCTCTATCTTTTTGTGACTGTTTCATTCGACTCCATGGCTGGACAAGGTTAACTTACGTATCTTGGGTAGTAAGGTCTAACAATTTGAGAATCCGAAAGTCAACTTCAGCTAACACTTTTAAATTCCCAAGTCTTTCTTAAGTATCTGATGAGATCTCCCCAAAGCATTATCAATATGGAATTTGAGATATTACAAGCTCACTTGACAACTATCTTAAAATAATAAGCTCTCTCAAATACTAAACATATTATGTTCTCAAACTATCAATCTAATACCGTACATTAAGAGAATCTGTTTCACAAGAGAACATTAATCTGACCATTGTACATATCACAAAATGGTGCACATACTCGTTGATGGTGGATCATGGATGTAGAATTCCAACTGAGGATGGTGAGAACAAGGTTGTGGTCTTGCATTTTCGGCTTTCTTTTCCTGTTTAGGTTCAACTTTGTTCACAGCTTTCTTTTCAGTTATTTCTTCGACACTCACCAAGTCTGCGTAGCCAAGCTTCTTCCTCAACGACTTCGCCATGTCCGCAGCATCAACTCCATCTCCAGTTATCACCATTTTGTCTCTGTTGGGTCCCTGGAAAGCCACTGATATTACACCTGCAACATTATAATTCATAAACAAAATTATCGAACTAATTAAACAAATCTCCCATTAATATGAAAGAATATAGTTTCAAAGATGAAGGGCACCATCTTCCGCAACAGCTATCTTCATGGCCTTGGACCGGCACTTATCACATCGAATCTGCGCCTCAATGGTTATCTTTTGCTGTAGGTCATGCATCCAACGAAACAAATGTGTCAGAATCAAACCATGGACTAAATATGACATGCTGCGCCTCCTTTCCTTTTCCCCAGAAAATATTTTTGGAAAGAAATTCTTATTAAATAAAACGATACAAACTCAAGAGATTAAGAGAGAACATATATAAATTGTATGCTTCTGGGAGAAGTGATTTACCTTCATAGTGTCTGCTAGTATACTGAACAAAATTAAACTTTGGGGTTTTCAAGAAGAACGTATGGATGTTCTAATGCTGTAATAAGAATGTGAAGCTGAGTGTCGTTTTTATAATGTCAACCGTTCAAAAATGGCAGTGGCAGCTAAGCCTACACGTGATTATCTTCACTAATTGAGTTTAAGGGAGCAAGTTTGGGGATCGATTCACGTTTAGTGACAAGTCAACATTAGGTAGTACTCTAATGAAAGTCAGCACCGCTAGTGTGTAAGCAAGAGTAGTGTTATTAGAATATTATGAAGCATCACATGTTCAACCAAAGTAAAAAAGAAAAATCTGTTCTAGCCAGGCTCATTCATTGTACAATGACTTGTAGCCATTGGGAGATAGAATTTAAGAAAAAGGAAATCTAAATTAAAGATCTATCATGACTAGTTACCATATAAAAATTGACTTATTTAATTTGGAAGCTGTGCATGCAATCCTCCACAATTTGATTTTATTTTTTTTTAAACCAATGCAGTCCTAGAGTTCTACCTTAGGTTATGGAAACTCATCTCTGGGAATCTTGAGCAGTGTGGGTTTGGAGAAATTGTAGAATGGTATTGGAGTATGATAATGTGGTATAACTTGTACACGGTCTATAATATGAGTGAACGATAAGTTGATATTCCCCTTTTAAAGAATAGTATTACTAAATATCCACTTATCATGTGACCGTATGACCATACTACACTATAATTAATCATGGGTTTGAATGATCTTAGAGGTCAAACTTAAAATCCAGACCGAATTTCAAGAGCTCCAAGTGTTACGAAAGTCAACTGATTTCCCCAATTAATTGGGGATTCCTGATATGTTGGTACTAAGGAAAAGATACTTACCTGTTGGGAAAATATTAGGTCTGTACATTTGCTTAATTGTAGGGATTACTTTCTTCTACTGTAATCGTAGTGTACCTATATATATCTTGTACTGTCTTCTTGTATATTCATATTTACCTATATATATCTTGTACTGTCTTCTTGTATATTCATATTGAAGTGAATAAGAATTTCTCTTCTGTCACTTTTATTACCTAGTGTTCAAGATGGAAATGGCCTCTCGATTGGCAGAGCCAAAGAGTTGAACTTTAACTTGGTGATGGAGCTAAAGCCAAGGAATTGCAGGGCACTGTGCACGAGGTTGAAGAGAGTAAGTCCCAATTGCAATCGCTTAAGTTGTCGATTTGAAAGATGAGGAAATTAGAGCCAAACAAACATTGATTGAAGAATATGACAGAGAGATGAAATCCAACGAGCAGAAACTTGGTTCGATTCAGAAATTAGTGCTGGAGTACTCAAATGCATTTGAATCGAAAATAAAATATTTTAATTTGCTTGAGAGTGGGTCTGCGATGGGGGGGAGGGGCCCTGGGAAAGGGAGAAAACAGAGGATGGCTGCAGGTTTTTCAGTTTTTTATTTATAAAAGGACTAAATTTTCTTTTTAAATTTTTTATATGAATTTTAAGTTTTAAAATAGATTAAATATTTTATTTAAAGTCATGTGGCTCTATACCATTGGATGTGTGGGCTATACATATATGCCACACCATCAATTTAACAGAAAATTTGACAGAAGCTAACAACATGGACCATTTTGATGTGTGGAGGGTAACCTTAAGGACCATTAGTGTCACAAAAAACCCTTATGAATGAAAGGTGATAATTTCGCAAAAATAAAAAAATAAAAATAAAAACCTTTGTTTTATATACAAAAATTAATGTAGGGAACGTGGGAAGCAAAAAAAATATATATATAGAGAGTTTTGCCATTTCTACCCCCTTGTCCTATATCCCCACCCACCATATAAATTTGAAAAAACACAATCTTATTTTTTCACCCACCATTATTCCTAAAATACCCTTTAATTATTAATTCAAACAATCTCTCTCTCTCTCTCTCTCTGTGCGGCGGATCTGTGCGAAGGGCAATTTGGGTGCCCGCCCATCCCAATGTTTTTTGAAAAAGAAAAAAAAACCTACATATGTTATAAGGGCAGCCCCAAATTTAAAACACATGTTGCCCATCCAACTTCCAAGAGGAAGTGGTCTGATATCTTTTCTCTCTTCTCTTTTGGCACATCAGCATGTTTATCTGTTCTGTTCTATAGCAACCCGATGGTAGCAACATCTTTCCCCCCCTCTATTTGCTGCATCTTCCTGTTATCTTGGCTGGGCAGTGGGCAACTTGGCAATATCTTCTCCTTCCCTTTCTACAACAACAATTATTTTCTAATTCTCTCATTTTCTATATATCTTTAATTATAGTGTGATTGTATGATTATATGTTGTATTAGGTAAATAGTATGTGTTATTACATTTTCCATATACTACATTACGATTTTTTATCAGTTTAGTATTGAGAAAAATAATTTAATGAAAAAGGTTATTTGGGTCGGTATATATGATGGAGTGGGATTGACGATAGCATATAGCATATCCTACCTCGACCCATCCGTGATTTTACTTAGGTCTAACAATATTTAATTTTGTCCAAAGAAACACAATATTTAATTGACGTGACGTAAAGAAGTATTCATGTTATAGCTTTTTTGCTGTGCAATTAATTCAAAAAAGCATGTCACGTATAACAAATTTATTTGGCTTTGCAGCAGTACTTCTCGTCGTAGGGGCGGAGCCACACTGGGATCAGAGTGGTCCCGGGCCCCCACTCAAGTTTTTTTATATTTTAAAAGTAATATACTGTTATGTATTTGTATATATATATTATTTCAAATACTTCATATTTTGATATGTACCCACATGTATTGTGGCGGACTTATTAAGACACAAGGAGGTAGTTCAAATTGCGCCCTTACTCAGCTAGTGGTGATGCACTCCAGGTGTACAGATTACCTTATTTCCATTTTCAACATTTAAGTAAATGTCTTTGTCCTTTGACTTTAATTTATTTTTATATTACTCCATTTACTTAAGTTTACAATGTAAATAAGGAAGTACCCCCTATTTGAATTCAAATAAAAATACTAGAAAATCAAATTCTCACCAAGTCAAAATATGAAAATTCAGTTTTAGTGTAAAATACGATTTAGGCTAAAAATGATGGCTCATTAAGTCAATATATACTTCATACTAAAATCCCATAAAATCAAGTTTTCTTATTTCATGTGTAAGGAATAAAAGCCGCAAAAAATTATCTTGAGAAAATGATTATTCCGAAAAACCATTTTTCATACTTAGTCAATATTTTTTCATGTATGATATGAATGCATAAAGGGGCCTAAGGTTGTTTTTAATTTGGGAAATTTTGATTTTTTTTTCCTTTCTATTGGATTTAATGGGGAAAAAGCTTTAAAGATATTTGCTAAATCACTACTCTTTGTCTATCTCTTGCAATTTTTCTTGCTTAGAATGTATTTGTCTATCCCTTTGTCGAGAACAATTATGATTGCAACCAATAAGCGATATAATTTTTGACATATGTGATATATATACACTATTTTTTGTATGTATTATGAGTTCAAATTTTTTATTCTTTATATTTTGTAAGAGGCCCCCACACACATGAAATCCTGGCTTCGCCACTCGTCGTACAGTAGAACTTGTTTTCTTTTACCCTTTTCTTGAAAACTAAATTAGCGTTCACATATCCAAATTTGATTGAAAGGTACATGCAAGTCTTTCGATTCATGTGTAAAACCAAAATAATCAATCTTTTATATGGAGAAAACCAAAAAACATATTTGAGAACTTTTTTGAGTTTAAAAGACTAAAAATATAAATATGGCTTTGGAAAACAGATAGTTTCTCTTTTCAAATAGAAAATCATCGGCCAACCTTTTACATATCATATGTATGTACAAAAGAAAAGAAAGGAGAAATATAGAAATTAAAGAGGTTGACAACCATTGATGTATGTAAGATACGTAATGAAAGCCCCATATATATATATATATCAACAGTTGGGAATAGTCATGTACAAATGGCCTACTGTTCTTATAATTTTGTTTTGGACTGATTATACTTACCATCATATTGCACCCTGCACAACAAGTGGCTCTGAGTATAAATGATTTTGTTCTGTCGCAATCCTATAAAGCAGAAGATGAAGAAGTATAAATATTTATTGAATCTCTATGTGTATATATATATATATATTTGATGTCAACGATTCTTCTTCTTCTTTTTCCTTAGTTTTTGGGGGTGAAATGATTTCAACCATTCTAACATCGCAAGTAATCCACATGTGAGTTTCGTTCATGGAGCTGGCGATCCACTTTTTGTGGGTTCAAAGTATATAAACCGCGTTTCAGAATGCTTTGTTTATGACTCTGTTTCTGCGATCTTTCTTAATTATGACTTGTTAGAGTGAATTATTGAAGTAGCATATTGTAACCTAACCCGAAATGTATCGAGTCAATAATTGCCCAAATTCCCCAAACCATCAAGTTTGGACTTAGAAGGTCATGAGGCAATCTCATTGGGTCATCAAGATGACCTCATGCATGACCAAAGAACTGTACTGACATTGCATTCATTCAAAAACAAAAAACTTCGTCACAGAAGTTTGTGATTAAATAATAAATCTAAGACTTTTTTCCATTTTAACTATTAAAAATTGTTATGATAAAGTTTAAGGCTTAACTGTTGATTTGCCCTTTGAACTTGTACATAACTTTCAATTTACCCATAATTTTTTTTTCTACAAAATTAAGGATATGAACTTTTTTTTCGCCAATTTCCCTCTTGCCGTCTAAGAGCATGTCCAGCGGACAGCTAAGCCCAAGGTGTGGGGGGGTGGGGGGGGAGGGGGTGGAAAGTT